GTTTACTTGCTCCATTCAATGGCTGTCAAATTTTCACGCAAGAAAGTGGTTCCATTCCTTCAAGAACCGAAAGTTCTGACAACAGTTGACAAAAAGCGCGAAGTCAGTAAATAGAGTGCGGACAGAACCGCAGTGTATAAATAGTACGAGGATAGAGGTTAGAGACCATTTCGCAGTGTGCTTCCATACTCACCATGAAACTGTGGGTCATTACAAGTAAAACCTCAGAATTTTTTTTAACTTATTAAACAAATTCTTTCAGAATTCTTCTGCTATGTCTGTCAATCGGCGTTCAGCAGATTTCCTCACAGTATCTCTACTACTACTATCCATCATCTTATACACCACTTTACTACTATTACCCTACTACTACTTTGACCCAACCAATGAACGATCCACGTATGGTTGGAGGAGTGAATGGACAACAGCCACAACAGCAACAATATCAACAACAGGTAATTTGATAGATTTTGAAAATTATGAAATGAGATGATATGAGCTTCTAACCCAGTATGGCGATGGGTATGTGATTGGCGCAGCTAATGTACAACAACCACAACAGCAATATTATGCACAACAACCATATCAACAACAGGTATAATTTTAAAAGCTTTTTCTTCAAAAATTAGGATGAAAGTGGTAGATTCTGGGACAGCCCATACGATTGCACAAGAGTGCAATGTATTAGCCTTCCGAATAAGTCTATGCCGTGTTTTCCCATTCCAGAAAATAAAACCTGTAAAAATTCCTGGCAGTTTATTTTCAAAAAAGAAGTCTCTCCAAAAGATAATACAAAGGGTTTATAAACTGGTGTGAAAAATTCTGCAGTGAAATATGTGACAGGCCTTTTGTAACCAAATAAAAAGATGGCTAAACCATTGTTCTACAACCACTTAAGGATGTGAAGTTTAGGTTTTGAAAGTTAGGAATATTTAGGCGCAGCCACAAATTACTGATAACCAAAAACAACAACAGCAGCAGCAGCTGTACTACAATCCTGGGGCATCGCAAATGCCAATACAACAAGCAGAGGGATATCAGTACACACAGTATAATCAAGTAAGTTTTGGAAACCAATCAAATTTCAGTTTTTTGAAATATATTTGAACGAGATGACGAACGGGACAAGAAACGCATAATAACAAAATTTTTAAAAATAAATTTTAGTCATTACTGAGTGGAGAGGTGATCAAAGTTTGGTAGGTAAGTCACTAATGAAATTAGCTAATAAAAATGTTAGTACTGTAAAATTTCAAACTTTTGCATGAATTTGTGAGGTCCACTTCAGAAAAAGACATTCTTCACTGGTTTTCGGTGCAAGTTACATGCATCTTTGTCGCCGTATTGAAATTATATAAGCACTAGTTTATTTCGCCAATATGGAGTATTGGCCTGTTTGTTTTAGCCTACTGCTCAACAACAGTATGACTACTCCTCTCAGTATATTCAACAGCAACCACTCCTACAAAATGTAAGCCATTTAGTTGATATCTCTTCATAGAAGCCAATATCACAAATTTCAGGGTGCCCAACAGCAATATTACCCGCAGAACAGCCAAACCATCAGTTCTACTCCATCGTCTAACACCTTAAACTACAATACTCCACTGAAGAAGTTGAGGAAAAGAAAATAATTCCATCTTCATATTCTATCTGTGATTAAGCAATCTATAAAGCTTGATTAGACTCTGATGATAGAATGAATAAGATGAGTATGAAAGAGGAAAAAGGTTTCGTCTTTGCATAGAATCTCGTAATCGTTAAGTAGGTAAGCAGCAGCAAACAAATCGAAATATCTTATGCACATGGCCTCATAGATATAAGGAATTTAAGCTCACCGTTTCTATTTGTGTAACCCAACGGATTAATATAGTAAGAAAACTTGCTGATTTTGCGTTTATTGCTACGCTTGCTGTTTGTGAGAAAAAGTTTTATCCGTGGATGCAGCAAGACGCAATCGGCAAAAGTCTATTTATCCATGTGTGATATGAAAAGCCATTCTATCATTCGGATTCCCCATCCTCAGCTCCTTAATACTCCGGTTATTAAAGAGTGATGGTGGAAGCATGTTAAATCGCGAAGCGTTGAGGTTAAGAGTCACATGTTGCGAGAACCAATGACTGAGTAACAGTGTGGGAATGTCAACGATAAGATGCAGGAATTCATTTATGCCTCGGGTAGAATACTTCATCGAATTTGCCACAATGGTCTTTTCTCATGCGGTGCGGATCCATCAGATATTGTTATCAAGCAGATGGATTTCCTTCATCTTAGTACTCAAAGACTGAAAAGAAGAAGCAAGAATCAGTCCGTGACATCCTTTGAAGCAACTTATTCAGATGCAAAAACAACTCCATAATATGAGAAAGTTAAAGAAAATCGCTGCTCTTTCTTGAAAACGCTAGCTTACTGAGAAGAAACCCTTTATTCCGGCAACCTATGCTGACAACCAGTCCTTTTCAATGTAAATTGGCACATTTGTGCTAAGGCTTTTACACAAATAAATTTTTCAAACACCTATGAACTTTTTCTGAGAACATACGTACAATTTCCATCGCATAAACACTGATCGAAAAACCCAAATACGCCTAGGTGGAAATAAATCAACCATGAAATGTGGAATAGATTTAAAAATGATTTGTTCATCATAACTACAATGAGTGAATGAAGCTTCGAAAACAATTACAAGATTCTTTGAAGAGGAGAGGAAAAGAGTAGCCATGTGGCGTTGCTCCAATCAACAAACACTTCACCTGACTTTCTTTTCTACTATCAGATTCCCGCCGCCCAATCTCTCTTAACAGTTTTTTTTTTCACACTATCGCCCGCCATCCGCTGTTCTCTTATCTGGCTGCACAATTGTCTGTTTGGCTTTTACAATGGAACATTTTTACTATACATCATATAGTGGAGATAATTTAATTGAGGAAAATAAAATTTTATAAACATCTACAAATTAATGGATTCTTTACTACAGTTCCATCCAGTAGAAGAGTAGCAACGTATATCATCTCTTTATAGCGTCTCCTTTCGATACTCTCGTAAGAATCATGCGTTGTTGAAAAAAATTCTTTATCACTCATTGCAACGAAAAATGTACGAAAGTGTAGACTAATTTTTGTTTTTAACCAATCAATAATTTAAGTCAGTGAGCGGTTGCTAGTAGCTCAGAAATATGGTTTTCTCTTGAATATTATAAACCGCTTAATTGATTCACGAGTGTTCGAATATTATCTGCTTAAAGGAGTTTACATCAGGCGTAGCGAGGAATCATAAAAACTTAAAATCATCTGATTTCGAAAAAAAACCATGAGCTTATTCATAAAACAAAAAAAAAACCGTAAAAGGCTAGATTTCAATGGTCTAACAAATGTAGCTTGTTTGTTGCTATTGAGATTTTATTCGAAGCAGCAACCAACATCGCAACATTCTCACTCACTTCAGAGCGAAAGTATGACACCTGTCTGTGTATCGCGCCAAAGCACTGAATACAGTAATATCATTCATTACGAAATCCACGCTTAGCTCACTTATCGTAGTCGAGGATCTTGAATTTAAGGCAAGAAAATCATATAGTGCAATCTGGCTGTTTACAATTCTATATGTGCTACAACATGCACTCTAAATTGCCTGCAATGTTGCGTCTTAGTTGCTTAATGAACGTTCGCGGCAGATATGGGAACTGCATCAAATGACACTCTTTAAACCTGTTTCTCTTTTCTGCTGAGTATTAAATAATGATAATAGGGAATCAACGGTAAGTTGATGCATGCAGCAATCAATAGCTGCAAGTTTTAGTAAAAGGAAAAGGTACCAATAAGATGCAATTGCACATTTCAGCAATTCTGAGAAACTGAAACATTTCTTAATATCTAGCTTGAAAGTTTCTGGCTAAGTCGATGTCTGTAGGGTAGTGCTCGGATTACCTCAATAAGATCCATGGGCCGTTCTTTCATTCATTCCGTTGCTGTTCTAGATAATATTACTGTTTAACAAAAAATCTACAACAAGATTAACCATTTAAGATTGAAAGCTATAGCGTTTGACATGCAAGTACTATAATTTGGAAGATAAACGCACTTTTAGAATAGATCCGATTTTTTTAAAATTTATTATTGGAAAACAAAGCATTACGCATTTACAAAGGGCATGCTTCTACCCATTTGATATAATGGACAGTAATGTGGCGAATAATGGTGGACAGACTTTAATCATGCTTTTTTAAGAAAACTCTATTAAACGGAATAAAAAGATTAAATTGTCAGGAAAGTGTTATTTAAGTTCCTTCTCCTTAATCCTTGAAAAATAGAGGTGTTATTCAAATGTCGAGCAAATTGTGATAAAATGTATATCACTAGATGCAGCGTAAAATCCTGCCCCTATCCATGACAGCGAAGAAGCATTTAAAGGAAATTATGCATGTAGTTTTTTTGCTAAAATCAGCGTGCCTCACAAT